TGCTAAAGGAAAAGCACATAGTTAAGAATAAATATAGATGACTGTGGAAAGGACAGTGCTAGATGGAGTAGATAAAGGAARACTCAAGTGTGGCCAGGTGATCCCAACAACTCCAGGCTGAGGCAGGAGGATTACAAGTTCAAGCCCAGCTTCAGCAATTTAGTGAGACCTTAGGCAACTTAAGGAGACCCTTCCTCAAAAAGGGCAGGAGACTCAGGGCTGTGCTCAATAGTAGAGCACCCCTAGGTTCAGTCCCTACTCCTGGTGTGGCAATGGGGGACCCATGTGCCATGCTTTAGAACTTACTCTATATCTTCTGTGAGGTGGAAGGGCAAAGAAGATTTCAAAAAGTAGAATGGTGAGGCCATATTCCTGTTTGGATGCCTCTGGCTAGAATATGAAGGAGTTAGGGAAACAGGAAGTAAGGAGGCTAGTTCAGAGGCCATAGAAATATTCTACACAAGAGGTGGTGAGGATCAGGTTTAGGGTGATGGCAGAGAAATGAGGAAGATGAGCAAATCTGAGAAATATTTAAGAGGCAGGACTTGATTCATCAGGGAGAGGGATCTGTGGAGGATAACTCCTGGGTTTCTGGCTTGGTGAGTGGGTGGATGAAGGTGAGTGGGTAGACTGAGAAAACAAAGCTGGAAGACTTTAGGAGGGGAAAGAGAATGAGTTCAGTTTTCAGCATGTTGATTAAGAGGTGTCTGTGGGATATCCAAATGAGGGCCTTTCATAGGCAGTTGGGTGTTTGAGTCTAAAGCTCAAGGTTAAGGTCAGGCCTGGAGGCCTAGGCTTGGGAGTCAGGTGTTGTCAGAACAGTGAGTGTTGATGAGATCATCCAAGGAAAGCGGAATGAGAACAACTTTAAGCCCTGTACTGCCAGAATGCTGAGCAACATGAATATTTAAGTGAGTGGAGATATAAGTCTAAGAAGAAAATAGAAGAACTGAGACAGAGGGTATAGAGTACAGAACTTTACATAAAACAGTCTCCCCAGCATAGTGCTCATCTGTCTCCCACATTAGAGTGCAAGGTCTTCAAGGTTGGACCTCTTGTGCTGTTTTTCCTTCTGGGACAGTTCTATTTTAGTATTACTGAGCACCAGGCCAAAAGCTTCTGAGTCTCAAAGAAAAGAAGGATAAAATAGTGTCAAATACAGCAAAGGGGTCCAAGAAGATTTGGACTAGATTTGGCAATTTGAAAGCAGTTGCAGAGGAAAAGAGACAGCCAGATTGTGGTGGATTGGAAAGTGAGTGGGAAGTGAAAAAGTGGTAAAAAGCCAAGAGACTTCTCTCAGAAGGCAAGGAGGAAAGAAAGGGTGGCAGTTTCTTGTGGATGAGAGTTCCCTTCAGTTTTATGGTTTTAATATAATTTACCTCACTTTTTAGCTGGTATTTTATTGTGTGTGTGTGAGAGAGAGAGAGAGAGAGAGAGAGGGAGAGGGAGTGTGTGTGTGTGTGTGTGTGTGTAGTGTTTGTGGGTACTATGTATATATACAATTTAATGAGGGAAAACTTGTTTTGATGTGATTCTAGGTATTGAACTCAGGGCCTTACACATGATAGGCAGGTGCTCCACTGAACTACCCTAAAAACTCTTTTAAAAAGAAATTATACATGCCTGTAATCCCAGCAGCCTGGGAGGCTGAGGCAGGAGGATCACAAGTTCAAAGCCAGCCCCCAGCGACTTAGCAAGACTCTGTCCCTAAATAAAAATATAAAAAGGGCTGGGGATATGGGTCAGTGGTTAAGTGCTCCACAAGAAAGAATTTTAAAAAGAAATTATACTACCATTATATTGAGCTCTGTTTGCTCTATACTTTATTTTGATTAGGGCCAGTTGGCAAATTGTTCTTAGTTCTCTTCCAACAACCTTCTTTCTGTTGTCCTTCATTTGAGGATCAGACTTACCTCACCATCTGAGTGCCTTTCTGATCTACGGAGCTGCTTCCCCATTCTTTCTCATAGACATATCCCCTAATAAAATCCTTATGTGTTTAATCCCATCTTGGCATTGGTTTCTTGGAAAGCTCAAACAAGTGTATTTTTARTTAGTTATTGAGTTAGTATGATACAATTGACAGATCATTTTTTAAAAATAATTTACTCTTTGGGAAGTTTTTTTTAAATGACTAGTACGAAAATGATTTGCTGATAGAACTACTTGCCTTTAGACTTATGACAATATATCTTGGAGAAATAGAATCATAGAATTTTTAGCATGAAAAAAAAACCCTTAATCTAACAGTTTGGGAATATGCAGAAGATTGAATTGTAGTCAAGTGAGGTTATGGGTGTAGCTCAGAGGTGGGGCACATGATTAGTCTGTGTGAGGTCTTGATTGAATCCCCAAGACCCTCCCCCCTCAAAACAACAACAATAAACAACAGTCCATAGTTGAGTGTCTTACTAGTGAACCACATTCTATCTTTGATTTAACCTTAAAATTTAACTAAATTTAAGTAACAAGCTAAGTTATAGGAAAGAAAAGAAAATTAACATTTATTCAGGACAGTATGTGGGGAGGGCAAATAGTTGCAAAGTTGAGAGTAAGACCTCTAAGGCTTACATACTTCAAAACTACCACTAGGTCAAGTTTCAAAAACACTCTGCCTATATTCATATCTATTACAAYGGAGAAAGAAACTATATATGTATAGAAAGTCTAAAACCAGAAGTGCTAAAGACTTAGGTCCCAAATCTCCTTGTCAGGCACTGACCTGGCTTGTTATCTGCTTTCATGTTATGGGGTTGAAGAAATAGAGAATGGTCCCCAAGACTGCCTGCACATCTGACACCAACTTCAAGTTTCCATATCCCCAAGACTTCCCTCAGTTTTAATAATTTGCTAGGTATCACAGGACTTCCTGAAAGGTGTTATACTCACAAATATGGTTTACTAAGTGAAAAGGTATAGATTAAAATCAGTCAAGGGAAGAGTTGTGTGGGACAGATTCTAGAAGGTTTCAAATGTAGAGATTCAGTGTCTTCTAGCCACTCAAGTCATGGAGAGTGCTAACTACCCCCTAGCAACAATATGTGGTAGTATTGACAACCAGGGAAACTTTCCTGATCCTCAATATCCAGTACTTTATTTGGGTTCCATCGTGGACACAGTTAACTGCCTACATGGCTATCCGCAGTCTCCAGCTCCTCTCTATAGGTCAGGCTGATACTGTGTGATCTAAATCTCCCATCATAACCCGCACTGTTAGCCTGCCTGGTGTGACCTCAGACTGCAGATGTCAGAGAGGACATTCCAGAAACCTAGATAGGAATTAGCTCCCAGGAGCTAAGGGCAAAGATCAGACTTCTCTTTGGGCAACATTAAATTCTTTAGTACCAGGAGCCATTTGATTTTTTTTTTTGGGGGGGGGGGACCAAACCCGAGKGTGCTTAAACACTGAGCTACATCCTCAGCCCTTTTCTGTATTTTATTTAGAGATGATCTTACTAAATTTTTTAGGGCCTCTCTAAGTTGCTAAAGCTGGCTTTGAACTCATGATCCTCCTGTCTCAGCCTCCTGAGCCACTGGGATTACAGGTGTGCACCACCCTGTCCTAATGATTTTTTTTTTTAATTTACCAGTACCCAACTCATAGGATAGTTATGAAGATTGGATAAGACATTGGATCAAAAATTACTCAGATATTTGTGGGTTTTTAGAAGTTAATGACACTAGTAAGGGTGGAGCTGTTATTTGAATTCAGATTTCCTCCTCCAAAACTGATAATATTTTTGTTTTGGTTTGTTTTAGAATCACCTTACATTGTAAGTCACCTTGTTGGTGATATGTTTTGAGAGATATGTAGTTGGGCAGTTTTATCACTGCAAACATCATAGAATGTACAAAACTAGACAGCCTGTGCACTCAGGCTAAGTAGTATGTTCCATCATATGCAGTCATCATTGACTGAAAAGTTGTCAGATGTGCATGACTCTATTTATTTACATTCTTTTAAACTATAAATAAAAAATGTCATCTCTTTGACAGTTCAATTAGTGATGGCTTTCAGTAGAGTGTTGGAGGCTAGCACCAAAGCCATTTACAGAGGATCTAGGAATGTTTGGGAAGATGAGGAGATGGAGACAGTTGAGTATTAATTTGCTGTTCTGAGAGTTTTGTCAAGGGAAAGGGGAAACTTTCGCATGTCTAGCTAGAAGGGGTGCAATATAGAATAGGGTTTTTTATATCATTTTTTTTTAAGATGAGCGCTTTTTGAACATATACTACATGCTAACTATGTGAGTCTCTTTACATACTTTATCTCATTTAGTTCTTCCCTTGCATTACAGTAGTTATCTGTTGACTCAGTGGTGCATGCCTGTAATCCCAGCAATCTGGGAGGCTAATGCAAGAAAAATCACAAGTTTGAGGCCAGCCTCAGCAACATGGCAAGACCCTCTCTCAAAGTAAAAAATTAAAAAGGGCTGGGGGTATAGCTTATTAGTAAAGCACCCCTGTGTTCAATCTCTAGTACTGGGGGAAAAATAACAACCACCAAAAAAACTGAAGCTCAGAGAAGTTATGTTATCTTGGTAGTAAAATGGAAATAATAATACTGCATTCCTTTGTTGTGAGGATTAAATGGGACAAACTTGTGAGAGGAAGAGGTCATTTTTAGAGCCTTTATCTGTGGGGCATCTCCAGGCCTTCAAAATAGTGGTTAGTATATAGTAAGTACTCAGTAAATGCTACCTATTATTACATATAGCTAAATTAAATTTTAAATTAATTCCAACTTAATAAAAATTGGTCATGAAATTTGGTGGAAAGTACGTCAATCATTTCTATTCTGTTTCTTAATTTTTCAAAACTCTGATTTTTTTTTTCAGCCACTTAACTGTTACATTGAAAATAATGTTTAGATGTTACTTAATTCCTGCCCAGTTGAGGTAATAATTCTATATTAAGGTGTTTTTACTTGCTGACTTTAGATGTAATGTGTTATCTTCTGGCTATACATCTTATGCATTCTTTTTTGTTTTTAAACCTAGAATTAAACAGCCACCATGTCRAGCAAAAAGGCAAAGACCAAGACCACCAAGAAGCGCCCTCAGCGCGCAACATCCAATGTGTTCGCCATGTTTGACCAATCACAGATTCAGGAATTCAAAGAGGCCTTCAACATGATTGACCAGAACAGAGATGGTTTCATTGACAAGGAAGATCTGCATGATATGCTTGCCTCACTGGGTAATTTATATTCTTTATATGATAGTGTTAAAAAATAATTCCATTCTTATGAATTTTTTTAAACATGATATACATATTATTCTGTTTCTAAAGACCTCTGGAGAGGTTTCTGGGTATGGGAGGTGCCATATTGGGGTGGGTTAGGCATGAGGGGATAGCTTGACAGGTGTGGGGATTTGGCGGTAGGCTTATGTTCCCATTAGTTAAATACTTTATGTCTATTAGGCTGAGAGCCAGAATTACAAATAATAAATATGGCTAATCATAGAGTATAATAAGGTTAATTAAAGTTGAGGATAGGTAAATAAGAATTGATGATTGTGAGTGATAATGGTTGTCTTGGGGAAGATGGGTAGTATAACAGGGAAAGGAAATACAGGGAAGGGGACTTTTGCGCGCGCTCTCTCTCTCTCTCTCTCTCTCTCTGTGTGTGTGTGTGTGTTGTACACACACACACACACCACTAAGCCACATCTCCAGCCCTATTTTGTGTTTTATTTAGAGACAGGGTTTCACTGAGTTGCTTTTGCTGAGGCTGGCTTTGAACTTGCAATCTTCCTGCCTCAGCCTCCCTAGCCACTGGGATTACAGGCATGTGCCCCGTGCCCAGCCCAACTTTTACAACATATATGTATGAGATATTTTTTGTTTTTTCTTTCTTTCTTTTTTCTTTTTTTTTTTTAACCAGGTATTGAACTCAGGGGTGCTTAAGCCATATCCCCAGCCCTTTTTTTATTTTTCATTTTGAGACAAGGTCTCACTAAGTTCCTTAGGACCACACTAAATTGCTGGGGCTGGCCTTGAACTTTTGATCCTCCTACTTAGGTCTCCTGAGTTGCTGGGATGACACACCACACCCTGCTTATTTATGTTTTTTTATAATGAATGGTTTTTATAATTTATCGTTTTTTAATAATTAAAATATGAAGATAGAAGATTTAATGTGTATATAAACTGCCATTTGTTATTTTGAATTTGTAGATATTTTTTATTTTTTGTATGATTTTTGTTGCTGTTTGGATTGATTTTTAATAGATGGAAGGAAGTGGAAATCCGGCATATTCTGCCTAGAATCAGCAGTGATTTTACAGTTTGAAGTAAAACAGCAAGCAGCAAACAGATGAGTTCTTGATAGGCCAAAGCATGGGGCCAGGGCATGGCTAGAAGAGTAGGTCAGGGGTCCTGCATAGAGGCTGTGTACTTCTGCTTGCCTGGCTAACCAGAAAGGGCAACTGAAGGGCCAAAGGGCAAAGAAAAAGGTCGGTTTTTTTCTTTTGGTGTCCACAAAAATGCTTGGCTAGTGTTTGTTCCTCTACCTTTTTTTTTTTTTTTTTTCCTAACATACTACTTTGAAAATTGTCAAGCTCACAAAAAGTTAACAGCACAGTGAACACCATACATCTTTCTTCTATGTTCCCCAGTTGTGAAGATTTTTCAGCATTTTCCTTTATCCCAACTGAGAGTAGATTCAAGATATTGATTTGTTGACTTGCCAGGTAGCTTATATCCCAAGGTTTTTCACATTCAGAGTAGCTAAGTGAGTTTACTTTTTTGGCAAGTCATTACTGAAGAAYGCCACTGAGGAAAATTGAAGGACTTAGCTTTATTGATTCTAAGGATTGAATACACATGTCCATTCCTCGCTCACAGTAAATGCTCCATAAATGTTGGTTGAATGGACAGGTGGTAGTAGGAAAGAGTAAGAGGAGACTTTGCATCCTTATGATTGGGGAAAACCTTTAAATATATGTATTTGCCTTTCAGATCAACAGTTATATGGGATGTCTTGAATGAGTTCATAGGTGCTTAGCTTAAATAATCCATTTTAAATTCCTTTGTCTTTTTTACCCTAGAGTTTACTTGACACCTATGTGTTGTCCCCACCCCAACACACACACACACACACACACACACACACACACACACTGTGCTATAAGAGATAGAGTTTAATCTACAAATAGAAAAGTAGATGTTTTCAGCTACTTTCACTTATTCAGTGAGTCTTTTTCAGAGGTATGCTGAGTAGGTGTGATGAGGTAAGATTTTGGTACGGTGACATAGATGTCAGCATGGTATTTAAATCTCACCCCAAATTCCCAGGATTTGAAATTTACATGTGGACTATAATTCTAGATTTGGGTATCATTAGTATTTAGTTTATTGTAATTTTGAGATGCTTCCTTAGATACGAATCTCTAACAGATGTTCCTTTTATGTAGAATCATAAAAACTTAATGTTGAAAGGGACCTTTGAGATACCAATTTCAATGAGTTCTTATTTTACAGATGGGAAACAAAGATGCCCATGACACTGAATGCAGGATCCGGAATACTGGATTTGAATCCCAGCTCTACCACCTCCCTCAGTGTCAGTAGAACTGGAATTCAAACCTAGTATTCTAATTTTTTTCTTTTTTCTTTTTTCTTTTCTTTTTTAAATATTTTTTTTTAGTTTTCAATGGATACCTTTATTTTATTTATTTATATGTGGTGTAAGAATCGAATCCAGGGCCTCACAAATGCTAGGGAAGTGTTCTACCACTGAGCCCCAGCCCATCTAGACCCTTCATTTAGAGCTGTTTTGCCTGCACTGCAGGGTCTCACAGATATTCTCATCTTGACTGCACATTCCAGGGGATTTTTCCCAACTCCTAGGGGAGGATCCAGAGATCTCTCACCATTATTCTAAAACAGGGAATATTCTCAGTTGGAACTGAGGTGAAGATTTATGAACAATACTAACACAACTGTAGTTCAGCAACATGTGTAAAGAACACTCAAGGATATCTGTTTATTGAACATTGTTCAAAATAAGCTCCCAATTCCAAGCCAACCTAATAGTTTTAACTTAAAAGGCCAACTAATAACTAAAACTTTAATATTTACATTTACAACTAAAAACATTAATATTTACATATTTTGGATAACTGGTATGGAAATGATTCCTGATGGACCTTTAATATTATCAATATTTAAGATGTAATAATGTGGCATTTCCTGGTTTATTGTTTCAGGTTTTTGTTATTGTTAAGCTTTTAATTAAAAGTAGGGAAAAGAGGAGGCATAAAGTATTAATGAATGAACAACTTTCAACCTAAGCCCAGAACAGGATTTTTTGGTGGTGGTGGTGGTTTTGATTTTTACAGTGCTGGAGATTAAACCCAATACTTGCTAGGCAAGCACTCTTACACCCTGAGTCTCCAGAATTCATTTTCATAATGATGTATCAAAGATTTTTTTAAGTTGTCAAAAATTATCTTTTTAAAATGTTCTGTTTCCATTTTTGGCTCTTTTCTGTGCAGACCCAACAGAAAGCCTTCTGCATGCTAATAAGCAGGCCATTCTTCCACTAAGCTATATATTCAGCACCTCATAATGTTCTTAATGAACATTAGTTGAAAAACTACTTTCAAGTGATAATGATGTAATGTTGGGAAGCATAACAATAGCAAAATATTTATTGAAATTAGCTCTTTGTCCTCACATGTTCAACTATGAATTCTTGCAGGGAAGAATCCCACTGATGCCTACCTGGATGCCATGATGAATGAGGCTCCAGGACCCATCAATTTCACCATGTTCCTCACCATGTTTGGTGAGAAGTTAAATGGCACAGATCCCGAAGATGTCATTAGAAATGCTTTTGCTTGCTTTGATGAAGAAGCAACAGGTGAGTGCATTTTGTTTCTTTACACCTAGTCTCATTTATGGTATCTGAAAATGAAAAAAAAAAATTAGTAAAATAACATTTTTAAAAAATGAATAAGCAGAAACTGTTGTTTACAAGTAGGATCAAACAATAGAGATGGCTAAGAAAAAAGTTGTGTATTATTAATCTTTGAATTCGACTCTGAGCTTCCTAAAAACCAAAGGGAGAGTTGTGGTCTATTAGCTAGTATTTTTTAGACAGTGAAAACTACTCTCCAAGATATATTCAATCTCACTAAAAAGCATAGTTRACTAACAGAACAATAAAAGTCTTAGTTTTGTTTTTCTGGCTTTTTCTTGGGATTTTGCTTTGTTTTGTCTGTGTCTTCATTTTAATGCACCTGTGGAGAAATGTAGTTTTTAATGCATAAAAACCTAACTATTCACTTTTCTTCCTCTCATTAACCATCACTGCAGCCCTCCCTCACTGCTTTGTCTTGCTTTTCCCCACCTCCACKTGTCAAGTCCTTCCTCACATTTGCTCTTAGCAGCGTGTCTATTGTTTTTCGAAGCCACCTGTTTTGTTGTTGTTGATGTTTGTTTGTTGCTTGGTTGGTTTTTTGTTTTGTTTTTTTACTTTATCTCTAAAATAGATATTTATAACCTCCAAATATTTTTAACCTCCAGATAATACTTGCTTAACATTAACTTTATAAACATAATAATCTATTTCTAAGTTTTTTAAATGAGTTAATCTAATTTTTTTTTTTTTTTTTTTTTTTTTTGGTGGTGCTGGGGATTGAACCCAGGGCCTTGTGCATACAAGGCAAGCATTCTACCAACTGAGCTATATCCCCAGCCCAAGTTAATCTAATATTAATAAAGAACTCCAAAAGTAATTGGAAAGCAGTGACATGGTTACGTATATAAACTTTAGTTTGCTAATTTATTTTGTTCATGTAAATGATGGATATTCTGAAATATTTTATAAGATTGACTTGATTTAGAAATGAACCATTTAAGCCAGGAAGGATAGTGCACAGCTGTAATCCCAGTATCTCAGGAGTGACTTCAAAGCCAGCCTCAGCAACTTGCAACTTAGTGAGACCTGGTCTCAAAATAAAAAGAGCTGAGGATGTGACCCAGTTGTTAAGCACCCCTGGGTTCAATCCATGATACCAAAAACAAAACAAAAAGAAATGAACCATTCAAGTGTGGTGAAATGTTCATGAGTTCCTTCTTTCTATTGCCTTATAGGCACCATTCAGGAGGATTACCTGAGAGAGCTGCTGACCACCATGGGTGATCGGTTTACAGATGAGGAAGTGGATGAGCTGTACAGAGAAGCCCCTATTGACAAAAAGGGGAATTTCAATTACATCGAGTTCACGCGCATCCTTAAACACGGAGCAAAAGACAAAGATGATTGAAAGAACTATAGCTAAAATCTTCCAATTACATTATCTTTCTCTATTTTATTTCTCAGATACTTTCCCCACCCTCATAAAACCTGTTGCATGCAACTTAGTTTCACAGCTTTGCTTTTTTTTTTCTTTGATGTATTTATTCCAGACCTTTTTGCCACTTAGCACTTGTATAATCAAATTGGAAATGGGGATGAGGTTGTAAATTGTGTTGAAAAGAAATTGSGAATAAAAATCAACAAATGTGAAAGCCCAGGAAAATATATCCGTATTTCTGGTTTTGCTGGATTTTTACATTTTTATRTAATAAAAATGCTATTTTGAAATAAAGATTATGCTGACTCAAATGGAATATAATGGCAAGTTAAAAAAATGATTGGTAGTTGGGGGGTAGTCCTTTTCTCAGGTTTCCAACTTTACATAATTTAAATCTCATGAAAAAATTGGTTTTTTCATCTATGTGGGACAGTTTTCTTCAGAACTTTTAACTATTTAACATTATTATGCAGTAAAAAACTAGTTATGCCTTTGTTTTAGTCATGGTTTTAATAAATCATATCTTTAAGCTATCACATGATAAATATAGAATATTTCTGGAATAGCATTAAATATTTGAGATTATAAAATGAGGCACAATTCTGAAGAAATGAGTAGTTGTTATTGAAGATTTATTCTGTATGAGCATTGTATATACATGATTTTTACTAAATCCTTCCAATAATCTTATAAGATAGATTGTCATTAGTCCTGTATTTGGGATGGAAGGGTACTGGGGACTGAACCAAGGSCTCATTCATTCTACCCCTGAGCTGCACYCCTAGTCTCTATTCCTGTTTCAAGTGGAGAGACTAAGCTCAAAGAAATTGAATAATTGATCAGAACGACTACTCATAAGTCAACATCGCAGTTCCTCCTAGGCCACCTAATTTCAGAATTCATGGGGCTAGAACCATGGTGCTGACTATATGAAAAGCCCCAAATGCCATTACATTATAATTGTTGTAGACATTGTTGAAATTTAAAAAATAACTTTGGACCAAGCATGTTGGTACAAGCCTGTAATCCCAGCTACTCTCAAAGCTAAGGCAGGAGGATCACAAGCTCAAGGCCAGCCTGTGTAACCTAGTGAGACCCTCTCTTCAAAAAAAAAAAA